TGGATTCAAATCCTGTAATTGCCACTTACTAGCTGTGTGACCTCTCTGTGCCTCAGTTTCTTCATCTGTAAAATGGGAATAATAATAAGGTATTATAAATAGTAAATGAGTTAATATGTGGCAGTATACATAGTATGACCTCAAGGAGTGCTAATTGCTGTTATTATGGTTAATATTAATATTACTCCTAACAGAGATCACATAGTCTATGCCCCTCATTTTATAGATGGAAAAAGTACAAAGTTAGGGGCATACCAATTCTTTCTCAAAATAATACTCATTCTTCTCACCTGACTTTGGCCATATCATTTAACTTGGAGACTTTTTGCATGATGCTGATTTTCTCTTGTTTAAATACTTTTCTGTTGATTAATTTCCTTGTGTAACCACACAACATATATATTAAAATTTTCTAAACCAAATCATTAATGCTTATATATGGGTGAAATAGTGTGTGAAACAATACTTTCTTTCTAGTTATCTGAGTGGGGTTGACCCAACAAATATAATAGTTTCTATGACTTAGAGGCCCCAAGAATCACCTGACCAAAAATCAATACTGCTCAGTAGCCTTGATGCCTGATATCTTTTTATTTTTTTATTTTTTTTGAGTCAGAGTCTCACTCTGTTGCCCAGACTAGAGTGCCATGGCGTCACCCTAGCTCAAAGCAACCTCAAACTCCTGGGCTCAAGCAATCCTCCTGCCTCAGCCTCCCAAGTAGCTGGGACTACAGGAATGTGCCACCATGCCCGGATAATTTTTCTATATATTTTTAGTTGTGCAGCTAATTTCTTTCTATTTTTTTAGTAGAAACGGGGTCTCGCTCATGCTCAGGCTGGTCTCAAACTCCTGACTTTGAGTGATCCGCCTGCCTCGGCCTCCCAGAGTGCTAGGATTACAGGCGTGAGCCACCGAGCCAGCCTGCCTAATATCTTCTGTCTCCAGGGGACTACTCAGAGGTATAAGCAGTTATTTGGGGTTGAAAACTATAGATATATTTTAAAAAATAGATTAATCTATCTTCAAGCAGCCTTCTTATTTAAATTTTCACAAGATAGATGCCTCACCAAACCTGAGGAGAAGGAAGTTAAAATAGTGTGAAGTGAGAACTTCAATTCTGAGTAGCCTGTAGCTGAGGCCCTGTCATCAAAGGCCAATTCTGAGAACGGAGGTAGATGCTGGAACCCTCTTGGCTCCCTCCCAAATTCCCCATCATTTGTTAGCCTGAGACCCTGTGTTCAACTGGGCTTGTTTTCCCTTCTCAGCTCTCATCTGAACAGTCACATGTTGCGTTTAAAAACAAACCTACCCTATTCTCAGTTATCTTTGAGTGGAGAAAAAAAAATAAACCATAAGGGTTTTAGATGAGACTTGGCTTTATTTTGCTTCTAAACACATAATCATCTTACTTGATTTTATGACTTTGGTTTGAAGTGCTAAGCTTCTTCCATTTTTATTTTTTTTAATAAAGGAGGCTGCAGTTCTGGGGTTTTGCTGTAACCTTACAACTCAGTTTGCAGAATCTTATAAAGAGCTCTGGATCCAATGCTGGGATAAGTCTCACATTATGGCATTATTATCCATGGACATAGCAAGGTGCAATCTGGATGTAGTCCCTAAACCAGTTTGCTTTTGGTGAACGTCCAATTCTTTTACAATTGCCTCTATTGTTATCTGCATTCTATTAATAATTTCTCTATTGTCCAGGGAAATGTATTTATGGGGACAGATTGATGCAGCAGATGAGAAGATACATGGACTGGATACAAAAGTATTTTACAAGGAAGATGATTCAAACACAACTCGGGTTGGGGAAGAAATGGATTTTTAAAAATAAATGAAATTTCAGGATGTTAATGTGATTTATTTCACTTAATGGAGCTGGTGACGGATGGCCCAGAGGTAACAAATCCCTTGCCTGCTCAGGCTGAGCAGGGTGTCATGTTTCCCAATGGTTTGCTTCCCTCACCTTGAAGAGAACCCTGACTTTGTATGAAAAAAGAAATCACTGATCATTGAAGAAAAGCAATTCGTGTTGCTATATGTCCAAAGAGAGGTTTATCCCTTCTGATTATTTTCCTTTCCAGCTAGAAGGTCTGGGGTAGGTGTGACTGGTAGCTTTTCGGAACATTTGATATCTGTCATCTTACCAAATGGGCCTTTAAATGAAACTGTCATTTTGCGCTTGAACAATTAGTGCTTTATGATCTGCACATTTGCAAATTACAACCACACTTTTGTGTGGGTTTTCAAAGAGGAGCCCCATTTCCCACAGTACGGCAGGGGTTTCTATGTTGTGTGACTATCGGAAATTCTGTCTCAGCATCTCTGGTAGTTCCACCTGCTCTGGAATGGCAGTGTCACATAAGAAATAAATGATTCGGTCCAGGGTGTTGTGGTAGTTGAGAGCATCAGAGAAGCTTATTCTTTACACATGTGCTTACAAATGGGCCACTGCATATTCGGTCCAGGAAGAGAGAATGTTGTCATCAGCTTGCCCCTTGAAAAGCTACCAGAAGCAAAGGGACACTATCTCTGAAATAATAAAGTCCATGGGGAAAGAGAATGTGCTTTGTCAAAATTGGATTCACACCTACCTTTGGGAGCATATTCATTCTATTCAATTGGAAATGCCTAATCTGGGGAAACTGAGGCAGTGGTATAAACACAAATCCCTAAGAATGGGGAGAGCAGGTAAAAATTAACCCGTTAAGCAGCCCCCAGTTTCCTTTTGCCTTTTTCATGCTTTCCCTGCCTGGAGGCCAGCCGATACATTAGAGTCGATTATTTGTCTCTTTTTGTCAGCATTGAAATGAGGAGTCAGGCCCTGCCAAGGTGGCTCCACTGAGTGGGGCGATGATTTATAGATTAATTATTTTAAGGAACAAGGCAGCACAGCATGATGCAATGGAAAGAGTGCTGCACCAGGTGAAGACCTGCATTTTAGCCCTGGCTCTGATCTTTAATAGCTGTTTGACTCTGGGCAAATCACTTAACCTCTCTGGGCCTTAGTCTCCTTATCTGTAAATTGGAAATAACAATTGATGGCTGTAATGATCACATAAAATCCTGGCTATGAAACCATTTTGTTAACTCTGTGGCACTAAACATACATAAAGGATTGCTGTTGTTATATTTCTAGGGACATGTACAGTACCACCACCTAGACAATGAGAGGCTACATTCTTCAGTCCTAGGATGTCAGGCCATACCCTAGAAGTATCACAGAGAAGAAGGCCTTGAATTTGTTGCCCTTATAATTGAGTCTACAAATCTTTTCAACTCTACCATAGGATGGGAAATAGGTCACATTAGAATTAGTATTAATTAAACACTTTATTCCTTAACACTAAAGAGCTCCCCAACTTTTTTTGGCCATTACCTTCTCAACATTAAGAACAATCTGGAATATAAGGTAGAAATCACAGTTTATAGTTTCTCCATTATGTATGCATATGGAAGGGAGAAAACAGGATGTGTTATCCTAGAAAACAGACAATTCCAAGGTCATATAGTATGGGATGGATCATCCTAAAGAATGGAAAAATCCCAAAGTTACATAGTATATGATTTGGTTCATAATGTTTTATTGAGACCATATACTGGGGAGGCACTAAGAGACCACATTTCCAATACAATTTTTCTGTAGTGAATCCATGAGGTTGATAATCATATGTAGATACTTCTTAATTTTCTCTAGTTCTACCTTTTCATTTCACAGGTGAAAAAAAATCAAGGCATTCCTTAAGCCAGTTGTTGTAAAACTGAGCATCAAGGCCAGGTCCTCTAACTTTGCCATCTAAGGCTCTACCCAGGAGACACAATTTCTTGAAGAATTCTGGTAGAAACCCTTACTGGTACCCATCTGGAGAGATTTGACTATTTTGGACTGGTTTCATTTCTCCATTCAGTGGCATATCTGGTAATTATTCTGTTAGAGACTTGACAATACATATTGATTGTGCATGTAGACAACTTTAGTAGCTGCTGCCAAAAACACCCACTGAAGGCTGTGGCTGTGTGTCACCAATAGGACTGATGGAAAAGTGAGGACTGTTGAAGGTGATTTTGTTCATATCAAGCCATATGACTGGTTTGACTGCTTCTTCATCGAATTGAATGGTTGTCTGATGGTTGCACTTCCACAACCTTAAGGTTACCAAAGTTTTACTATGAGTGAAGAAAATGCAAGCATTCCTGGTACCCCAGGAGTGACACAGGTGCTTAAAGCAGGCCTGGCCTCAATAGTGAATGATGATTTCCCCCAGGCTGGCAGTTGCTCTAGGGCTGATATTGAATGTTACTATATTTGGAAGTTGGTCACATTATCCTAACATTGGTTAATGTTAGAGTAGGGACAGGTAGACAGAGAGTTAAGGTGTTTGTAGATTTCGTGTGCTGTAGAAAAGCAATTTTGACAGAGATCTCTGGTTAACTGCAGTGCACTGTGCTTAGTAAGGACTTGAAAACTCCCAAACCTTTAATTTCCTCCAGGCAACTCTCTCTGAGTACCCCAGCCCAATTTCAGCACTAGTCCTTTATCCCTCTGGCCCTTAATATTATGCATTGCAATGCTATCATTCACTGATTTTGCTTTGCCCAAATGTTGCCTTATGTTTCAAATCCTTTTGTGTATGCCTACCTGGTCTTTCCAAAGAACCTGGGTCAACCTGGTGGGCCTGATAAATATCTCTAGGGCTTGCTGGGAGGGGGACTGGAGGGCCTCCTGACTAAACACATTTCTCTAGCCAGACTTTCTTGGTGCCTGAAATTGCTACGATTACAGCACTTTAGCTGGCTAATGACAAAGAAAGCTCCTATTAGAATGCTCATTTAAGGATACTGAACCATTATCGGCCATTAGCACCCTCTCTTGAATTAGTATATCATATAAGCTAGTCAGTCACCTAGAAAAGCTTTGGAGAAATGAGACTTCAGATTAGGGAGGCTCTGCAGTTTTCACAAAACCCCATAAATGTTCTGTGAGGTCAAGCCTTACCCTCAGCCTCCTCTCAAAAGCTGCAATGCTGCCTTTGTTTTGCTCCTTCCTCTGCCGCCACTCGATGAGGTTTGCATTGTGCTCTCCTGGCAATGAGATGTTGCATTTGCCCAGAGTGGGGTTGACCGCCCCAGCCAGGATGTGGGGCTCTGAGCTGAGGCTGATCTCCATCCCGCTGGCAAAAGTAACCCGCAGGGAACCATCCGGACTCACCCGATAGGTACTTTGAGTATTTTCTGTCGAGGGAAGAGCAAAGCAGAAAGAAGGGGAAGAAAGGGAAGAGTAGGAATCAGGGAAAAGATAAGTTTCACTTGAGGAGGCACGTTTGGGATGGGATGAGCAGGTGGGGCGCTGTGGGCCTAACTGCCTTCTGGGCTAGACCACCACTCTGACAGGCAGACGTGCTCTCTGTCCATTTGGGTCTTGTTATTTTCACAGCTGGAGTATCTTGTTTCTTGGATAAAAGGCTCCTGTCTAACACTGCAGGCTGTTTTTGTTTTTTTTTTTTTCTTTTTCATTTTTAAAGAATTCCCTCACAAACTCCCTTCTCTGACTTGTTGGATCAGCCTCCGCAGTTTGATATGCCGAGAGCTGGGATGAGAAGAGCATGAAGTTCAACTCAGCAGCCTCACCACCTGGGGCCTCCAGCACAGTTGCTGGACCTCACAAATGACAATATCAACAAAACTTGGTACTGTATCTCTTAAGAGTGTCTGGCCCCACAACCTAACAACAAAATGAGACTTTAATGACTGGGCAGAGAGAAAGCAATTTCTCTTTGTTTACTTCTCCTCTAGCTTCCAAGACATTCCTTCCTTCTTTTTTTCTTCCATTCGTTCCTGTCTCTCTTTGAACAGAATGAGCTTTTAATTGTCTCATTTCACTTACATTCTTTCTTGGTATATATCCTAAGTTGTCCTTTGTCTCCACCCATATCAGCATCGGTCTAGAATGCTAAGCTCAGCTGGGGCCCTGACACCATTTCTTTAATACAACCTCGTCAGACCCTTAAAGAACTTTGCAAACAGCTGGGTGTTGGGAAATGACTTGATGGCAAAGTAGACTCAGCAGGGATCTGACCTGATGACTCCCACAGAGATGTGGCCCAAAGTTGATATGGGAACTTGTAAAAGGTATGAATTTGGGTTTCAACCTCCATAGATAAAAAAGAGGGAGAAGAGTTCATTTTCTCAGCCAGAGGTGAATTCTGTTTATTAACAATGTGCACAGGTTTGAGGGCAGACTTTATGATAGGTGCTGTTATAGTCAGGTAAAGTCGGAAACAGTCTTACCTTGTTTTAAAATATATATGGTACTAGTTGCTGTCAAGTTGGTGGACATGAGGACATTTTCGCGGTTGGAAGTATCTAGCTCCACTTTTGTCAGCTTCTCCAGGTCACTGTGGAAACTGCTGACCTCTCCAGTGGGAAACGTTGCATTGGTCAGATGTCCCTCGGGGTCATACCTGAGGAATGTAACCAATCCCAACACTGAAGCCTCCTGGCAGTGATAATAGGCCTTTACAAAATAAAAATCACTTGGCAGCTAATACAGTTTAACTTTGAGTGATAACAAGTATTATTAACCTTGTTCAATAAGAAGAAAAAGGTCAGAGAGACGATTAATCAAACGAAGGTATTTTTTGCGGCTTCTGAATTCTTGATGACTTCCTTGAGCTGTGCTGTTTTACAGAAAAAATATATCTAGTAATGAATCACCAGGGTGGAAAACTGATTTATGAATCATGTCCTGCTGTGTGCAATGTTGCAGGGAGGCCTCCGTTTGCAATTTGGGTCGATTTCATTAGATGTGATGGATTACAAAAACCAGTAGAGGGTGCTGTTGTCAAAGGAAAAGGAAGTACAAAAGGGTCCTCAAAGCCCGAAAAGCCAATAAACTGACTTTGCATTATGATGGGAAAATTATAATTTGCTGCTGTTTTAGTTGCCAAATTTGAAATGAATGAATCATTCTCCCAACAAAATGAACATGCACAGAGGATAATGGAAACATGTTCATTAAAACATTCTGGAACCCCCTGATCTTAGTGTCACTTAATTTTTTTTTTTAATCTTTTTGGAGTATAGTACATAATGTTTTGTAATTTGCCTATATGGGTAAGACACACAAAAAATAATTACCTGAGATAATAGGCAATAACCTATATCTAGAAATATAGTTTAGTGAGTTTACTTTCTTTTTTAAAAAAAAAATCAGAGTTATTGGCAATCTCACTGTCCTCCAAATGAAAACTGCTTCCCCTGAAGGCTTTTGATGTTGAGCTGTTCTTTTATTGCCAATAGAACCATGAAAAATAAACACTTCATTAAAAGTAAAGACATGCACTTGGAAACCCATTACTGTTTTCTTTTCAAGTTGCAAATTACCAAATATTTAAGCATTTTTATTTGCTTTTAAAATGTTAAACAATTATATTCTTTTTACCCAAAGTAAGCAGGATACAGCATGGACACAATGGTGGAGTCTGGATCTCCTCCTCCAACAATTATGCAAAATGGCATAGTAATTCAGTGTTAATCCACTGGGTTTTAAAGAACTCAGCCTGGGCAGTTGCTCAAATTTTAAAACCTATACCAGCCTTTGGTAGGCTTGGGGAAATGGGGCTGGGCCATATTTTATAGGACAGGCCTGCACTTGACACTCTACACAGTGCCTCCTGAAGTTTAGAACTGTGTGTACACGTGTGTGTGCACACAGAGTATCAGTTAAAATGGTTATGTATGTAAATAAAAATAATCAAATAGGTCATTTGATATCACAGATATGCCAATCCCTAGATGTTAAATCGGGTGCTCCCTTTGTTTAAATGGATTTTAGTTTAAAAGGTTGGTGCATTGCTACTATGCAGCTAAGGACTCATTATCAAAGAATGGCCAGGGGGTGCTGTTTGTCCTGGAGTTAATGGCAAAATCCTTTCCTCTGCCCAGCCTGTTTGACCATGGCCTGCTCTGGGGCTCTGTGGCTACAAGAAGCTGGTGCCCGGTGAGAAAGGCACATGGAAAGGCTCGAATGCCCAGTACAGCCCCAACCTTGTCTTCTTGATCTTCCTTCCAGGAGAGGAAAACAATGCCCAGCCTTTATTTTCTCAAGGTACCAAGCTGATTTACCCTGCAGGGAGGAGTTTTCAGGCAGCAGATAGAAGGAAGCTGCTGCATGCCCTCCTTATGAGGGAAACTGTGGCCCCCAAAGCCTATACCACATTATGCAGCCAGTTCCCCTCAGCACCAGCAACTCTGCCTCGTTGGTTTTCCTTTCCTGATTTCTAGGGGTTTTTCTCAATCCTTGGCAAAGTCACTCTTTATCATTCCTTCAGGAAATCTGACCTAAAACGCTGTGGATACAGGTGCCCAATGGGCTTTCCAGCTTGGGGCCAGTTTCCTTCCTTTCCAGTCACATAGCCCCTTGTTTTAAAGCAAGATTTCATATAAAGGTGAGAGCAGTGGTTGAATCCACTCATCAGAACAAGATTACAAAATCAGATACCAACTGAGCCATCCATGCACAGAGGTACAAAGGATCAGAAGTCCCAATGAACCTTATACACAGTGGCCTGTGGATAAATCTGCTTTCCTAACCCAACCACCAAACACTTTTTAAGCTAAGTCATTGGTGCTTTTTGTTCTGAGATTCATTTTACATCTTATTCCCAAGCGCACAGCCATGTTTCTACATATTCTGATCCCATTCCCCAAATCGACAGCAGTATATTCAGAGAGGAAAGCTAAATGGTCCTGGATCCTACTTGTGGCTGAGAAAGATCTAGCTGGGAGACTGCTGCCTGCTCTTTTTCTGGTGAAGGAGGCAATGGCGTTTGGAATAAGGTATCATTTCCCACAGGCCTGTCCAGTTGCTGGGTAGCTAGAAAGTTATATTGCCTCATTTCCTTTCTGTGGCTGGCTAGGCATTTGAATTTGAAAGTGTACATTTGACTGTAACATTACCATAAATAAAGCACCCCACCAACACACTCACACACCCCAATTCTGCTGGTCACAGTCAAGGCAATCACATTTGATGGTGTCTGCAGTGTTGTGCTCTGTGAGCTCTCACGTGCTCTGTCATGTATATGGTCCTCTCTCTGCTGTGGGGCCATTCCCAAAGGAAGAGCGACAGGCAGATGTACACATAAGTGGATAATTCCCACAACTTTGGAAAGATTGCTCAAAGTGGAGAAGAAATAAAGGGAGCCTTTGATTTCCTATAGCTTGTGTGAGTTTTTTTCCCCCAATCACAGGGGAATGCATCCTTCCAGACTGAATGTCAAAGAAACAAGTTTAATCAAAATCTCTTCTGCCATGTATTTCCCTCTGGTGCCTGCATCCTTTGGTGAACAGAGTACAAGCCAATATGCTCCAACTGATCCCCTCAGGCCACCGCTTGGGAACAACACCCCCTCACTGCAGGCAGGGCACAGCACCTCATCAGGCCCGCAGATTCTAGCTGGTGAATTGTTGCCATCACACTCGCCAGAAGTGGGCTAGGTAAGAGGAGATTTGCCATAAAATTGTCCCCTCATGTCCTGATTTTAGAGTTCCACTGTGAATGTTCAACAGGGCACCAAGCAGTGAAGTGCTGAGGGCACTTACTCTTTTGCTCAGCACTGTGCCAAGCTGTGTGCACGTGGGCTTGAGTGTGAGTGTGTGCGCCCCAGTGGAGCAAAGGAAACATTTGTAAAGGAAACTCAAAATTCATTCTTGTCCTTGAGGAGCATATAGTTTGGTTGGGGAGATGATATTTACACATTATTAAAAATATATTTAGTCTGATATTTTCTCATAAGAGATAGCCTGCCCTTTCTTTTGAGGATAATTTAAGCCAGTGTTCAAAGTAGGAACTAGAGGCTTCTCCACCTTTGCTTTTAAGAAAGAAAATAACTGCACATTATAGAAGGAAAATGCATTACCTCTTTTTAAAATTTTTTTATTTTTATTTTTTTATTTTTGAGACAGAGTCTCTCTCTGTTGCCCAGGCTAGAGTGCTGTGGCGTCAGCCTAGCTCACAGCAACCTCAAACTCCTGGGCTCAAGTGATCCTCCTGCCTCAGCCTCCCGGGTAGCTGGGACTACAGGTATGTGTCACCATGCCTGGCTAATTTTTTCTATTTTTAGTAGAGACAGGGTCTTGCTCTTGCTCAGGCTGGTTTCAAACTCCTGACCTTGGTGGATCCTCCTGCCTCGGCCTCCTAGAATGCTAAGATTACATGCGTGAGCCACCACGCCCAGCCTGCATTACTTTTTAAAAGGAAATATGAAGGAGTCAGATCCTCTTTACACTTTCATGTCAGAAAACTGACCAACCCAATAAGAATTTTTTAGGAAATACTGGATTTCCTTTTCCTCACCAATAACTTCATTTGGCTTTCTATGATTCAGTTAGTTACAAGTCCATAATGCCTTTCTATCTTCATTCATCCTTCATTCAATAAATATCAGAGTCTTGTGCTAGGGACCAGGAATACAGTGCTGAATGAAATTTACAGTCTAGTAAGGCAGATAAGATATGTACACAAATAATTCTAATGGCAGAATATTGCTGTGTACTTTTGTAAAGAAGGAACTGTAGAAGCTCAGAAGAGGCAGAGGTCATTTCCAGCTGGGCTGAGCAGAACAGGAGGAGAAAGAGCAGGAGGAGGTGGTGTTTGAATATTGGAAGGTAGGTAGAGACTGGGGAGGGGAGGGAGGCATTCCAAACAGAGGTGATGGCATGAAGAAAAGCACACAGATGAATGGGATATCCACTGGGGGACCAGTGTTGCTAGGGCACTAGATTCATTAGGATGGTAGTGGGAGAGAAACCTGGAGAGGCATGCTAGGGGCAGAGCATGAGGGAACTGGCATACCAGGCTCTGAAGGAAAGTATGTAGTTACCAGACAATGGAGAGGCATAGAAAGCTTTTCAGGGGGAGAAGATAATTATCCAAACAGGGCTTTGGTGGCAATGAGTCTTGGAGAGGTAGACAAGGAACAAAGAGACCTGTTAGGAGGTTACAGCCTCAGTTTGAGCCAGAGAAGATGGTGGCCTCATGCCTTTACTAAATGTACTGTGGTTGCCTATTGTTGGGACTTGTCTTCCTCACTTGACTGTAATGTCTCACATCTTTAGAGCGAGGACACAATGTCTCATTCATCTTTGTATTCTCAGGGTCTGACATCAGTGTAGTAGATTCTCACTACACTTGCTTGTTGAATTAAGTGTAAATAGGATGCTGCCAGTGGAAGCGGAAAGGGTGGGGTTACAGAACAGACAGAACCATCTATAGTGGTGTGGGGAGGCCACCCTCAGCTTATATTGATGTCCTGCACAGTGTAGCTAAATTTCCCTACCAGCCTCTGTTACTTCTGTGCGCTCCCTGTCTTTATTTCAGTTCACCCCAGCATTAGCCACGACAATTCTGTTTGCCCTGTTCTTGATCCTTATTAAGGGCATAACGCACGAGGAGAGGTGA